TTTTTTTGCGGTACGCAGGCCTCTCACCGTTGTGGCCTCTCCCGTTGCGGAGCACAGGCTCCGGACGCGCAGGCTCAGCGCCCATGGCTCACGGGCCTAGGTGCTCTGCGGCATGTGGGATCCTCCCGGACCAGGGCATGAACCCACGTCCCCTGCATCGGCCAGCGGACTCTCAACCACTGCGCCACCTGGGAAGCCCGAGAGAGACAGAATTTTGACTCAGGCTTCTTGATCTGAGGTTTAAGGTTATGTCCAGCTATGCAGAGCTGCTTATTTGTAGAAATGCCTCCTCCCCTCCCTTACAGTAGGGATCTGACACTGCTCAGTGTGACCTGAGCAGTCTCTGGGCGAAACCTCCGGAGAGGCTTTGCCTCTCAGTCACCTGCCTCACGCTTAAAGTGCTCCTCACAGGTGCCTGGGGAGTAGCAGCTTGAGTTAATGTCACAGAGAAGTTGATGGGAAAGCCGAGATCTCCTTTGAGGGTGTGGGGAGAAGTTACTGGGGGACTACTGGGGAGAAGTCTGGGGAGAATGGGCAGATTCCTGGCGGGAGTCGGGAGATTTCATACCATTAGACTTTTTTCTCTCTCTCTTTTTATGGCTGTGCTGTGTGGTTTGTGGGATCTTAGTTCCCTGACCAGTGATCGAACCTAGGCCCCAGCAGTGAAAATGCCGAGTCTAACCACTGGACCGCCAGGGAATTCCCCCATTAGACTTTCAATAAATGTTATTTTACAATACTTTGCTGATCGAGCCCCATGGAAATGTCTTGTTAATTTAAAGGATGGATTGGAGTGCTATTTTGGTAGTTTTAGAAAAGTGAGGGCTTGGGGCTGAGGGATTGGTGCGGACAGAGTTCCAGGGAAGGTGGGAGGAGAAAAAGAAACAATGGGGTGAAGGTGTCACTGTGTGGGCCCTGATTTCCCTGTGTCTAAGGGTATTCAAGAACTAGGTTAATTCTGAGGTCTCTTCTAAAATCATTTTATGTTTACTTTTAATTGGGGTTGGGGGGGGCATAGTGCATTCAAGCAACGTAGAATTGTGTAAAGAAAAAGGGAGGGAATTTCCTGGTGGTCTGGTGGTTAGGACGCTGTGCTTCCACTGCAGGGGGCCTGGGTTCTATCCCTGGTTGGGGAGCTAAGATCCCACATGCCACGAGGCATGGGAAAAAAATAAATAAAGTCGGGGGGAGGAGATCTGCCTTCCCTCTTCCCTCGCCAACCCTACCCCCAAAGGTAACCTTACCAACCTGTTGATGTGTGTGTCCTTACAGACTTTCCTGCTATGCTTTATACGACTGTTGAGGGTGTATGTAGGTCTTGCTGTTTTTCTTTTGCAAAAGTGGGGTTACACTAGACATACTGTTCTGAAACCTGCTTTTTTCATGTTTTAGTCAATTGTGGACGTCATTTCCAGTGTGTGTTTAGCTCTGGCTCATTCTTTTTCTTTCTAATCTTTTTAAATTTTTGACTGTGTTGGGTCTTCGTTACTGCACGCAGGCTTTCTCTGTTGTGGCAAGCGGGGGCTACTCTTCGTTACAGTGCGCAGGCTTCTTATTGCTGTGTCTTTTCTTGTTGTGGAGCACGGGCTCTAGGCGCACAGGCTTCAGTAGTCGCAGCATGTGGGCTCAGTAGTTATGGCACGCGGGCTCTAGGGCGCACAGGCTTCAGTAGTTGTGGCGCATGGGCTCCGCATCATGTGAGATCTTCCCCGCCCAGGGGTTAAACCTGTGTCCCCTGCATTGGCAGGTGGATTCTTAACCACTGCGCCACCAGGGAAGTCCACTCATTCTTTTAATGGCTGCATGGTATCCTATTGCATGGAGGTGACTTAGTGTCTATCCCTCTATTTATAATCATTTGCATGATATCCAGTTTTATAAATAGTGATGCAATGCATGACATTTTACACACACATTCTAGTATTTCTCTAGAACAATGGTTCTCAATCAGGGGCAGTTTTGAACCCCAGGAGGCATTTGTCAATGTCTGGAGACATTTTTGATTGTCACAAGGGGAGCGTGGGGATACTGGCCTCTGGTGGGTAGAGACCAGGGGTGCTGCTAAACATCCTACAATGCTCAGGACAGCCCCCAACTACAAAGAATTCTTCATTCTAAAATGTCATTCGTGTTGAGGTCGGCTCTAGATAAAAATGGAATTAGATTTTTGGGGTTTTTTGGCCATACTGCATGGCATGCGGGATCTTAGTTCCCCAACCAGGGATCGAACGTGCCCCCTGGAGTGGAAGTGTGGAGACTTAACCACTGGACCACCAGGGAAGTCCCTGGAATTAGATATTTTTTAAGTATTTAGTTTCTAAAAAAGCCCAGTGCCCAAAACATTATGACACAGGTACACAATGTAATATGATCTAGCCATTTACAATGATATTTATGAAGATCTCATAGCAACATGGAATCATGCTTATGACATTTTGCATTTTAAAAGCCATGTACCGGAAAAAAAACAGAAGGGAATATGTGAAGTAAAAAGTGTTAAGATGATGGGTTCTTTTCCCTCTGTCTCTCTTCTCTCTCTTTCTGCAAAGTCATTATTATTTTTATAATCTCTAAGTTACTTGTTTTTTGGGGGTTTTTTTTTTAGCTGCATTGGGTCTTCATTGCTGCGCATGGGCTTTCTCTAGTTGCAGTGAGCAGGGGCTACTCTTCGTTGTGGTGCATGGGCTTCTCATTGTGGTGGCTTCTCTTGTTGCGGAGCACCGGCTCTAGGCGCATGGGCTTCAGTAGTTGCAGCATGTGGGCTCAGTAGTTGTGGTGCATGGGCTTAGCTGCTCTGTGGCATGTGGGATCTTTCCGGACCAGGGCTCGAACCTGTGTCCCCTGCATTGGCAGGTGGATTCTTAACCACTGCACCACCAGGGAAGTCCCAGTTACTTGGTTTTTTTTTTTTCTTGCGTTATGCGGGCCTCTCACTGCTGTGGCCTCTCCCATCTGCGGAGCACAGGCTCCGGACGCGCAGGCCCAGCGGCCATGGCCCACGGGCCCAGCCGCTCCGCGGCACGCGGGATCCTCCCGAAACGGGGCACGAACCCGCGTCCCCTGCAACGGCAGGCGGACTCTCAAGCACTGCGCCACCAGGGAAGCCCAAGTTACTTGGTTTTTAATCATTTATTCAGTCATTGTTTTTAGAGCCTTTGGGGCATGCCAGGCATCGTGCTGTTCTCTGGAGATACCACTGTAACAAGGCTGAGTCCCTACCTGTATGGAGCCTACCTCCTGTGGGCAGGGAGGACAGCACCTTAACAAGTGCTGTGAATGCTAGAAAGGACATGAGTACATCTTCAGGAGGGGATGCTCTTTAGCTGAGCCCTGGAAGGTGAGAGGAACCAATCTAGGGAAGAGTGGGGCTGCATTTCAGACATGGGAACAGTGGGTCCAGGGATGGGCGGGTAGATAGGAACGTAAACAGCATTTTCTAGGAACTGCTCAGAAGCACCGAGCCCACCCTGGCTGAAGAGACGGATCCGTGGTCCAGGGTGAGGTTGAAGAGGTGGGCCTGTATCATTTCGCAGCGTAACTCAGCTCCACTGCTGTGGGCGGGCCTGCAGTGTGTGCAAAGAATGGCAAGGGGAGATGCAGAAGGGCTCAGGGCCCTTTGGATCATGGCGGCTTGTTAGAGAATCCCAGGCCCTGTTCCTGGAGTCCGTGTGTCTGAGGTTCCCCCTTTGCGCTCAGCTTGAGGCTCTGCCCTCATGCTAACAGCCTGGGATTTCGCCTCAGGCAGGAGCTGGCCATGAAACGAGGTGTCTTGGAAAGCCAGCTGATCTCTGGAAGTGAACTGTTCCCTACCAAGCCTGTTCATTCACTCCATCAGCAAATATTAATGAGCAGTTACTGTGGTGGGCTCTCTTCCGGGCACTGGAGTTACAGGGATGGATGAATGAGACCAATGCCGTGTTTTCATGGGCTCGAATTCTAATGGGGGAGAGAGACAAGAAACAAAAGTATGGAATCAATGTCTGGTATATAAATGCTCTAAAGAAGAATAAAGCAGAATAAGGAGAGAAAAGGGATGTTGGCGCTGCTTTGGGGGGCTGGTCCGGGAGGACTGCTCTGAGGAGTGATGTGTGAGCCGGGGCCCTAAGACCTTGCTCTGGTATTTACTCCTGTCTCTTGCATTTAGCCTGAAGCTGATGGACATTGTATGGGCCACAGGCAGGGATGGTGGGCTATGACCCCAGAGCAGACGGCAGGAATGTCTCCAATCTCGAGGTGGCCGTGGCTGGGTCTGTGTCTGGACTTGTCACTCGGGTGCTGATCAGCCCCTTGGATGTCATCAAGATCCGTTTCCAGGTACCCTTTTCCCCTTTTTCTGTGTAACGGGCCAGAGGACAAGTTCACTCTTTTTTGCCAAAGCAGTTCCTAGAGCTTGCAGTTTCGTCAAGGAGAAGCACTTTGTTGCCTTTGTTACCTTCTCTGAAACTCCTCCTCCCCCCACCCATCATCCTGACCATTCTCATCTTAATTCCCAGCTTCAGATAGAGCGCCTTTCTCGCAGTGACCCCAACGCGAAATACCACGGGATCCTGCAGGCTGGGAGACAGATTTTGCAAGAGGAGGGCCCAACAGCATTCTGGAAAGGACACATCCCAGCCCAGCTTCTCTCCATAGGCTATGGAGCTGTCCAAGTAGGTGGCAGGGGAAGCGGCCTGGCCCCTGGGGTCACATTGCCCAATGGGGGAGCCCAGGGTGGTGAGGCATGTACCTAGGCTGCCCGGGGTAGGGCAGCAGGAGGCGGTCACACACTGCTCATTCGTCTTGGCTGGGAAACTACCTGACAAATTGAAGACATAGTCAGACTGAGCTGTACTACAGGCATCCCCTTCCCCACGTCCCCCAACCCTGGAGACTTAGCACCCACTGAATATGAGGTGCTGCACCTAGGATACTGTCTTGACACCCAGCCCAGAGGGGCTTAGCAAATGGCAATACAAATGCTTTTCATTTTTCAAAATAGCATTATTCACGTCTGTGCATCCTTTGAACTTCCCAACAGCACTGTGAGGAAAGTGGAGCAGGTGTTGTGTGGGTCGCAGAGAGGTTGAGTGAGCTGCCTGAGGTCACACAGCTTGTAGGTGGTGAGGCTAGGATTAGGATCCAGGCTTCTTGACTCTTGCTCATGAGTTTGTTCAGCTGAGCGCCAGTTTACCCCATGGCGTCTAGTCTGTAGCCGTACAGTAGTGGTGATGGAAATAGCCAACCCCGCACAGTGCTCATAGGGGGCCAGGCCCTGGGTGGAAGCACCTCACATCTGCCAACACATCTTACAACAGTCCTCTGGTAGGTTCTGTTGTCATCTTTATTTTACAGATGAGAAGACTGAGGCAGAGAGAGCTTAAGTAGTTAGTCCAACCAACGTCACTAGCTAGAAAGTGGCAGAGCAGTCCCTGCCTGCTCTACGTATGACATCACAGTGATTACGCAGGTCACATGCACCTGCCACGCCACCTCTGCGCCCAGCACACAGATGCTGCATCCTGATGGGTAAATGCAGCAACATGTGCTCTCAGGACCCCCAGCCATCTTGAGTTGGCTGGAGAAGGATCTGAGCCCAAGGGGGGCTTACACCACAGAATATGGAATATGTGGAATTCTCCCAACAGAATTTCAGCTCCAGGGCAGAATGTTTCTCAAACAGGGCCGCTGCCAGCTGCGTTAAAGGGGTCCCCAGCCTAGAGTCAGATAATGGCCATCTTTTCCCAGTTCTCAGAAAACTAAGTGATGAGTAGAATTTTCTTTTTTATTCTTTTTTTTTGGCCTCGCCATGCAGCTTGCGGGATCATAGTTCCCCCACCAGGGATTGAACCCGGGGCCACGGCAGTGAGAACACCAAGTCCTAACCACTGGACTGCCAGGGAATTCCCGAGTAGAATTTTCTTTTTCTTTCTTTCTTTTTTTTTTTTTTTTTAATATTTATTTATTTATTTGGTGCGTCGGGGTCTTAGTTGCAGCATGCAGGATCTTTTGTTTTTAGTTGCAGCATGTGGGATCTAGTTCCCTGACTAGGGGTTGAACCTGGGCTCCCTGCACTGGGAGTGTGGAGTCTTAGCCACTGGATCACCAGGGAGGTCCCCCAAGTAGAATTTTCTGATACAAAAATTTTCTCATATATTTTCTTAACCCTTGGGTATTTGGCTCTGCTCAGAGTATGAAAGGGCATCTGAGCTTTGCACAGTTATATGTTTATTGTATTCTGACCCTACTCAAGAAGAGTATCTCCTGGTCCCTAGGATAGGCCCCGCCTGGGTCACGGGTGCATTTGGGGGGTGTTTTCCATGACACTGTCACACACTCTTGCAGTTTTTGTCGTTTGAAGTGCTCACCGAGCTGGTGCACAGGGCCAGCGTGCGCGATGCCCAAGACTTCTCCGTGCATTTTGTGTGTGGCGGCCTGTCTGCCTGTGTGGCCACCCTCGCCGTACATCCTGTGGACGTGCTACGCACCCGCTTTGCAGCGCAGGGTGAGCCCAGGGTGAGTGGCCAGGCCAGAGAAGGGGCGCCCAAGGGACGAAGGGCGTCCCAGGGTGGGGGCTGTTTTCCTCAGAGGTAACAAAGCCGGGGGGACCTGGGGTTTTCAGGCCATCCTTCAGCCTGTTCCTGAAACCCGTGATGGTGCTTGGCACCAGGCGAGGTGCTCACAACCTCACGGGGGACACAGAACCTGCAGGGGAAACACAGCAAATACCAAATCGGGATGGGGCAGGCATCTGAGAAAGTGAGACTTGAGAGTCTATCGCTGTATTATTGGGAGGGAGGTTTTGGTTTCCAGAAAGAATGGATTGGAGGAAATGGGATCATTGAGTCAGACTCAAGGAAGAACTGGCTGAGTGAAAGCAAGGGATTAAACCCTCAAATAGACGCCCCATCCCCCCTCCGCCCACCATAATCTCTGTTTCTTGGACATACATAAGAATAGCGTAGGATACTGTTGATGGGGAATGACGTTTTGCTTAAGAATTTGATCTGGGACCAGCTAAGAATAACTGTGGTTTCAGCTGTGCCAGTTTTTTGTGTTGCCTGGGGTGGAGATCCTGGGTTGGGGGACCTCTTTTGTTTAGGAGACATTCTGATAAATTTTTTGGTTCAGAAATGCAAAGTGGCCCAGGAACAGTCTAGAAGAAAACGACTGGGGCATGAGAGCTGGGTCACTCTGTGTGACACTGCAGTGGAAAATAGAGGTTTGGGGTGACTGCCCTGGTGGAGAAATGAGATGAGCTGTCCTAGGAATGGAGTAGAGAAATGGAGGGGAAGGATGTTTATAGAGGGGACAGACCTCAGCAACATGGTGGCTGCTGGGATGAAGAGAATGGCTGGTGACAGTCCTTCAGGTTCCCTGTTCTGCGTGTGCTATAATCCTCTTCTGTTACTTTCCAACCTTTAGTACAAGTCTATGGGAAGAAAAAAGGGAAAACATCATTAAGAAAAGAATAGCGTATTTCTTCTTAGGCTTAGCCAGTTGAGATGCTGGATTCTAGATTCTGGAATGGCTGGAAAATTGTGTGTGAAAGTGAGGGGAAAAGATTTATTTAAAAATTGCAAAACTCTCCATCTTCTTTAGACTAGGAGCATCCATAGTGTGAATCCTCACATTTCTTAAAAAATCAATAATCTGGGCTTCCCTGGTGGCGCAGTGGTTAAGAATCCACCTGCCAATGCAGGGGACACGGGTTCGAGCCCTGGTCCGGGAAGATCCCACATGCCATGGAGCAACTAAGCCCGTGCGCCGCAACTACTGAGGCTGCTCTCTAGAGCCCGCGAGCCACAACTACTGAGCCCGTGCACCACAACTACTGAAGCCCACTCGCCTACAGCCCGTGCTCCGCAACAAGAGGAGCCCGCAATGAGAAGCCCGCGCACCGCAGTGAAGAGTAGCCCCCGCTCACCGCAACTAGAGAAAGCCCGCGCGCAGCAACGAAGAGCCAATACAGCCATAAATAAATAAATAAATAATCTATAAAGTGTATAAAGGTTAAAAAGACAGATAGTTCTTCATGAATTATAATGAAAAAACACCAGCCAGCCCCCTGATTCTATTCCCCAGAGGCAAAACCACTTTTAATATTTGTGTGTTTCTTCCGCAACTTACTTCCTAATTCAAAGTAACAGAGGCTCTTTGTCTTTCTTCCTTTCCTTCTCAGTTTTAAATTATAGACATTAACTACTGACTACTGCTATGGAAGATGAGGATTTAACTCTTTTACCATCACCCTTGGGTGTGCTTGTGCTTCCTCACCCGAGTACAGTGCAAGTGATTAATAGGTTTTTGGCTAAACCAGTACTCAGTGTTTATGCTATTATGATTATGTAAATGTTACTGCTGAGCCTCAAAATATATTATGATTATATGTTTTCTTTTGTATTTTTGTCTTTCCTGAAGTTGGCAATTGCTTTGTATTTTATTTGTTTTGCTTTCTACATGCTTATCACAAATTCACTTTCAGACAATCTCCTGATAGGGTGAGCCTGTGGTCAGCAGTCCCATGTTTTTATGGAGCCCCTCCTAGAGCCCCCCACCCTTGAACCCTTTACCCTATGGCTTCGATCTAGACTGTTTGCTCCAGCACTATGGCCAGCTATTCTCAGGAATCCTCATGTAGGAGCCCATGTCTTCTCTTGCTTGATTAGTCCCTCATTTTGTGGAGCACATCCTGAGGTATAGCTTCCTTACAGAAGCCTGATAGAAAATGCCTTTGTTTTCCCCTTACACTTAACTGATGATCTGGGTGTAGAATTCTAGGTAGCTCTCAGTATTGCTGAAGAGGCGTCCAGAACCATCCTGATGACCAACCCTTTATATGAAGCCATCCACTTCGCCCTCTTGGGAACTTTCAGGATCTTTTTTTTTTTTTTTTAACTTTTTTGTGGCCCCACCATGCGGCACGTGGGATCTTGGTTCTCCAACCAGGGCTCGAACCCACACCCCCTGCAGTGGAAGCGTGGAGTCTTAACCACTGGACCATCAGGGAAGTCCCTCAGGATCTTTTCTTGATCCCTGGCATTTTAGAAATTTACCAGTGGAGTGCCCCATGGCGGGTCTCTTTCATTCATTGTGATGGGCACTTCCTGGGCCCTTTAGTCTGGACACATGTTCTTCATGCCTGGAAAATGGTCATGAATTATTTATTCACAATTGCCTGCCCTCTTTTTTTCTTTTTCTTTCTGGAATTCATGTCAGTTGGACACTAGACATCCTGGATTGATCCTCTGATTGACTTATCTTTTATTTACCATTCTGGGAGGTTTCCTTACTTTTATCATTTGGGCCCTCTATTGAGTTTAAATAATGTCTGCTAACATACGTTGGTTCCTAAGAACTGTCTTTGGTTTGTTTGTTTTAGTCAGGTTTATTAAAGCATAACTTGCACAGTAAAATCCACTCTTTTTAGCATACAGTTCTGTGACTTTTGACAAATGCGTACAGTCACGTAACCACTAGCACAATCAAGATATAAAACAGAAGTTCCATCACCCCCTGATTTCCTCCTGTCCTTTGTAGTTTGTCCCTCCCCACCTCCAGCCTTCAGTAACCACTGGTCTGTTTTCTGTCTGAAGTTTTGCCTTTTCCAGAATGTTACATAAATGGAATTATGCTCTGTGTAGTCGTTTGAGTTGGCTCCCTTCACTTGGTAGATGCATTTGAGATGTGTCCGTGGGGTGCCTGTGAGTAGTTGGCTCCTTTTTTTTTTTTTTTTTTTTTTTTTTGCTGTTCGCGGGCCTCTCGCTGTTGTGGCCTCTCCCATTGCGGAGCACAGGCTCCGGACACGCAGGCTCAGCGGCCATGGCTCACGGGCCCAGTGGCTCTGCGGCATGTGGGATCTTCCCAGACCGGGGCACGAACCCGTGGCCCCTGCGTCGGCAGGCGGACTCTCAACCGCTGCGCCACCAGGGAAGCCCTGACCCTCTGCTTTTATCATGAAGGTGATGCCTTCTCTGTGGTCTCAGGATATTAGTTAAAATTTCGTGGGTGGTTTCTTTTTGCTGTAGTTTTCTTCTGCTATATCTATACAGTCTCTTCCTTCCAAATGACTTCTCTTGCCCCTCATCAGTCATTTTGGCCTCTGTTTTGGGGGAGGCTTTCCTCAGATGTCTGGTGACTCTTGGCTGCCAGCTTGGTGTTAAGAGGGGACACAGAAAGCAGATTGGCACTCTGGCACGCGGGCAGCTTGTTGCCCGATGGCCTTCCTCTGAGGCCCGGCCCTTTCATGCAAGTCCCCAGGGCGAAAGCCTTCGATGTGGCTGCCAGCATCTGGGAGCCAAGTGTGTACTGTCCCTGCTCAGTACAGACTTCCCCTCGGTCACCCTCTTGTCAGTGCAGTGCTTTCCGCACCCACAGCCAGGCAGATTCAGCCCCTCTGGTCCACTGCAAAGAATATATGTCAAATAGAAGTGTACTAAAAACTCAGTGGCTCTTCGTGCATAAAGATCACCTGTTGATGGTTTCAGAAAGGTTAAGTATATGCATATGGCAAAAAATCCAAATAGCATAAAATGGTAATAGTGAGTCTCCTTCTTCCCCCATCCCTCCCCTGTCCCCCCGTTTCCCGCTGTGGGGGTAATAATGTTACTGTTCCTCCTTTCTTGTGTATCCTTGTGGGGCATAGTCTCTGCATACTGTTTGTTTCCTCCACAGACACTATGCCTGCTCTTCATGTCCTGCTGGGTTCACTTAACTGTATATTTGGGGGAGTCTCTTCCCTGTCAATCATCTAGATTGCATCTTCTGTTGTAATTGCTGCACTATGTTCTTTTGAACAGGTGTGCCGTAATTTATGTAACCGATCACCCAAGGGTGGACTTCACACCTTTTGCTGTTCCGCATACTTTTGTGCACTCCTTGGCATATCTCAGTCGTGTAACTAGCTAGAAGGGGAGCTGCCAGACAGTCCCAGCCTTGGAATCTTTATCCAGCATTTTCTTTGTCCTTCTGGCAGGAGAAGTAATGCTCCTAGTAGCTGGTTTCTGGACAAGGGGAAATACAGCTGGTGGGCTGGGTTCTCGGGCTGAAACGATGTCACTCATCATTGCATGTGTGGTGTCCAGGTCTATAAAACCCTGCGAAACGCCGTGGTGATCATGTACAGGACCGAAGGCCCCTTGGTCTTCTACAAAGGCTTGAACCCCACCCTGATCGCCATCTTCCCCTACGCCGGCTTCCAGTTCTCCTTCTACAGCTCCTTGAAGCACGTGTATGAGTGGGCCGCGCCAGCCGAAGGAAAGAAAAACGGTGAGACCGGCCTCATGGGAAAGGGCATCTGGGTCCCACTCCGCCCCACTCCCAAGCCATAGCATCTCTTTCTGAATCAGGTAGGAAATGAAGTTTTCCTGCAGAAGCTAAGACACCACAGATCTCTGAACTGCCAGCTCTGTAATACAGCCAACAAAACAAATCCATTCACTCACAGATGACTTTCTTTCTTTCGGCTCTTGCCACTGTTATTTCCAGCTACCGGTCATGGTTTTCATTTTTGTCAAAGGTCCAACTTGCAAACAGCCTGGTTTTGCTTATGTGTTTGGTTTGGTTTTCGTTTGGGGCCTCTGGGGAGGGGGATGGGCATCCTGTTCCCTCCCAAGCCTTGAACTGAGTCGTATGGCAGAGCCTGCAGGCCATTATTGCCTCCAGCTGGGGTGATTACTGTTAAAGGCGCACACCCCTTCTGCCACCAGCCTGTCCAATCAGCAGTCCATTGTCATTCCTTTTTTTAAAATTTTTATTTATTTATTTTTGGCTGTGTTGGGTCTTCGTTGCTGCGTGTGGGCTTTCTCTAGTTGTGGCGAGTGGGGGCTACTCTTTGTTGCGGTGCGGTGTCTTCTCTTGTTGCAGAGCACGGGATCTAGGCGCGCGGGCTTCAGTAGTTGTGGTTCGCAGGCTCTAGAGCGCAGGCTCAGTAGTTGTGGCACACGGGCTTAGGTGCTCCGTGGCATGTGGGATCTTCCCGGACACGGGCTTGAACCTGTGTCCCCTGCATTGGCAGGCAGATTCTTTTTTTTTAACTTTTTGGCTGCGTTGGTTCTTTTTTAAAAATATTTATTTATTTATTTATGGCTGTGTTGTGTCTCCGTGTTGCGCGCGGGCTTTCTCTAGTTGAGGCGAGCGGGGGCCACCCTTCCTTGCGGTGCCCAGGCTTCTCATTGCAGTGGCTTCTCTTTGTTGTAGAGCACGGACTCTAGGCACGTGGGCTTCAGTAGTTGTAGCACGTGGGCTCAGTAGTTGTAGCTCGTGGGCTCTAGAGCGCAGGCTCAGTAGTCGTGGCTCATGGGCTTAGTTGCTCCATGGCACATGGGATCCTCCCGGACCAGGGCCCGAACCCATGTCCCCTGAATTGGCAGGCGGATTCTTAACCACTGCGCCACCAGGGAAGCCCTGTCTGTTGTCTTTCTTCCTGAGGTTGTGTCTGGTTCTCTCGCTCCTGGATTAAATTCTTCCAAGATCGAGGATGCTTGTAGGTTTGGGTTTTCTGGTCGAGGATTAGACTGTATAACCTTGAAGTTTACCCTAGATTGCATTTCTCTCATATTTCCCCTCCATCCCACTTCTCTGGTTCAGGGAACGTCAAAAACCTGCTTTGTGGCAGTGGAGCTGGAGTCATCAGCAAGACCCTCACGTATCCCTTGGACCTCTTCAAGAAGCGGCTGCAGGTTGGAGGGTTTGAGCAGGCCCGAGCCTCCTTTGGTCAGGTGAGATGTCCCCCTGCAGAGAGCTCTGATTCCAGCCCCTCACTGGGCACGTGAAGGAACTGGGTCAGCTCCTGTCCACTGGGCAGCTTTCGCCCCCATAGCCCTCTCAGCCCCTGCATGTCCCCGGTGTTGATGAAAAATTAATCAGTTGATCTAAGAAAGAATCGGAAAATTTTATTCCAGCCAAATTTCAGGATTATAACCCAGGAAGAGCATCTCAGAAAGCTCTGAGAACTATTCCACCTGCTAGAAGTCAAGACACAGTTTATATAAGTTTTTTGAGACACAGGGCTGTGCATCAAATGATGTTTTTTTTGGGTTTTTTTGGCTGTGTTGGGTCTTCCTCTAGTTGCAGTGAGTGGGGGCTACCCTTTGTCGTGGTACACGGGCTTCTTATTGCGGTGGCTTCTCTTGTTGTGGAGCACGGGCTCTAGGCATGCTTCACACATGTGGAGCACGTGCTCTAGGCTTCAGTAGTTGTGGCAGGCGGGATCATTAGTTGTGGCTTGCGGGCCCTAGAGCTCAGGCTCAGTAGTTGTGGCACACGGACTTAGCTGCTCTGCGGCATGTGGGATCTTTCCAGACCAGGGCTTGAACCCGTGTCCCCTGCATTGGCAGGCGGATTCTTAACCCTGTGCCACCAAGGAAGCCCTAAATGACATATTATTACTTTTTTTAAGATAAATTTATTTATTTATTTATTTATTTTTGGCTGCATTGGGTCTTCGTTGCTGCACACGGGCTTTCTCTAGTTGGGGCAAGCGGGGGCTACTTTTCGTTGCGGTGCGCGGGCTTCTCATCGTGGTGGCTTCTCTTGTTGCGGAGCATGGGCTCTAGGTGCACAGGCTTCAGTAGTTGTGGCACGTGGGCTCGGTAGTTGCGGTTTGCGGGCCCTAGAGCGTAGGCTCAGTAATTGTGGTGCACGGGCTTAGTTGCTCCGCGGCATGTGGGATCTTCCCGGACCAGGGCTCAAACCCGTGTCCCCTGCATTGGCAGGTGGACTCTTAACCACTGCCACCAAGGAAGTCCCAAGTGACGTATTATTGACAGTTCACAGAATCCAGTTCTAAGCAACATCGTGGTGGGTCATGTGACCCCTTACAAGATCAAGAAGGAATGTTATCTTTTTAAGGAGTTGTCTTGTTGATGCTGGGAGAATGTTGCTCTCTATGGTTGAGCAGGTATTCCTGGGAGAGGGTTTGGTCAATGCATAATACACAGTGTGGAGAGAGAGGAGGCCAAAGGGCAGAGAAGAATTTTTATGTTTAAATTTTTCTTGTCTTGCCATAAAATATGAACTTTATTTCACACTGGGGACCCCCTGAGCACAAGGGAAGCCACAAGCAAAGCCCTGTGTGTACTGGACACTGTTTAAAGACCCAGGAGAAGGCACACTCATAGTGCCTGCTCTTAAAAAGCATTCAGAGGAATTACCTGGTTGTCCAGTGGTTAGGGCATGGTGCTTTCACTGCCATGACCCAGGTTTGATCTGTACCGCAACGAAGAGTAGTCCCTGCTCGCTGCAACGAGAGAAAACCCGAGCACAGCAACAAAGACCCAATGCAACCAAAAATAAATAAATAAATTTATTAAAGTAAGTAAATAAATAAATCCATCACCACCCACGCAGAGATAATCACACAGAACCTTTAGCTGTAGTCTTTCTTTTTTTTAAAGATTCTTTTTTTTAAACGTTTTTATTTTTATTTCATTTTTGGCCACGCGGCATGTGGGATCTTAATTCCCCGACCAGGGATCGAACCCACGCCCCCTGCAGTAGAAGCGCAGAGTCTTAACCACTGGACCCCCAGGGAGGTCCCTGTAGTCTTTCTTTTTTCCTTCCTTCCTTCCTTTCTTTTATTGAAGTATACTTGATTTATAATATTATGTTAGTTTTAGGTATACAACATAGTGATTCAATATTTTTATAGATTTCATTCCATTTAAAGTTATTATAAAATAATGGCTATATTTCCCTGTGCTGTACAATATATCCTTGTTGCTTATTTATTTTTTGCATAGTAGTTTGTACCTCTTAATACCCTACCCTTATCTTGCCCCTGCCCCCTTCCCTATCCCCACTGGTAACCATTAGTTTGTTGTCTATGTCTGTGAGTCTGTTTCAGTTTTGTTATATTCATTCATTTGGTTTTTGTTTTGTTTTGTTATTTATTTATTTATTTATATTTGTCTGCATTGGGTCTTCGTTGCTGCCCGCCAGTTTTCTCCAGTTGCAGTGAGCAGGGGCTACTCTTCATTGTGGTGTGTGGGCTTCTCACTGCGGTGGCTTCTCTTGTGGAGCACGGGCTCTAGGCACACAGGCTTCAGTAGTTGTGGCACATGGGCTCAGTAGTTGTGGCTCGCGGGCTCTAGAGCGCAGGCTCAGTAGTGGTGGTGCACGGGTTTAGTTGCTCCGCGGCATGTGGGATCTTCCTGGACCAGGGCTCGAACCCATGTCCCCTGCATTGGCAGGCATATTCTTAACCACTGCACCACCAGGGAAGCCCCATTCATTTGTTTTAAGATTCCACATAAAAGTGATAACATACACTGTTTGTCTTTCTCTGACTTATTTCACTAAGCATAACACCACCTAGGTCCGTCCGCGTTGTAGTTTTATTCCTTTACATAAATAAATATATGTTTAACAAAAATGGGGTTACACACAAGGTTTTATAACCTCCTTCTTCGTTTTACCAACTTGTCTTGAAAAGATGGTTTGAATTTGGATAGGGAGAGTTGGTGAGAGGTCAAGACAGAGAAGGGAGGCCCTGCTCCTCACAGAGCTTTAGCGTGAGCAGGTATGGCTGGAGGTGTGCGGGCACTGAGGGTGGACCAGTGGGGAAAGGCAGATCAGGGAGGGAAGTTGAGGCCAAATGGTGAAACGCCCCGAACACCACGCCGTGGGGCTTGGACTTGAATCTTTGTAATATCATTGTCATCATCATCATCGGGAGTTACTGGAGCTCTGGGAGGGGAGCGAGGCTTGAGTAGAGCTGTGCCTTGGGGACACGGGTCTAGCAGCAGTTTGTGGTCAACTGGAGGTGGCCAGGCTGGCGTCGCTGGTCAGGCTCAGAGCTAACGAGGGGCCGGTTCAGATCTACTGCCCAAGGGGGACCAGGAGGGATGGGCGCACAGTCAGAGGCACCCCCTGGGAAGAGGGTCCAGAGCTCTCTCTGGGTCCTTAAGAGCCGCTGTCAGTGGAGCCTCCGGGGCAGGAAGGAGCTCTGTCCAGTGCTGATTTCCAGGCACTTCATCTGTTAAGTTTGAATTAGCCCAGTTGGAAGAGAAAGAATGAGGTTAACTTATTCTGTCTTTTTTTGCATTCATTCCTTTGTCCAGCAAGTATTTATTGGGTGCTTGAACGTGCCAGGCTCTGTGCTGACAAAAGAACAGAGCTCACACCCGTGTTGCCATCACCTCCTCTCTCCTCAACTGGAGAACCTTCCTCTCCCCAGGTGCGAAGCTACAAGGGCCTCCTGGATTGCGCCAGGCAGGTGCTGCGAGAGGAGGGTGCACAGGGCTGCTTCAAAGGCCTGGCCCCCAGCCTGCTGAAGGCTGCCCTCTCCACCGGCTTTGTGTTCTTCTGGTACGAGCTCTTCTGTAACCTTTTCCACCACATGAAGAAGGCAGACAGCTAGCCTCGAGGGCAGGAAGGGTGGCCTGAGGTCCTTCCCTGGAGGGGCCCTCGTGAAGAACGCTTGATCTACCATCCCGTGTTGCACTGAGAGGTGTTGCCCGGCCCCTCCCGCCAGGCCAGCTGTCCTGGGCACGAAGAGCCGTCGGCAGCAGCCTGGATTCCACCAGAAGGGCAAAGGGGGTTCTCCATGGGAGAGCACGGGGCAAACGCAGGACTTGGTCTGCGGGGACCCAGCCCCGCCAGTCAGAAGGAGCTGGACGTTTCTCCTCTGTGTGGCGCACACTCAGGGCAACAGCTGCCCTCCTGCACGCCTTCGCTCCGGCTGCCCAGAGAACTCTCCTGCGTCTGGGTGGGCCGCAGCTTGAGTGTGAGGCTGGGGTCAGGCCTTTACAGGGGTCTGGTCCCCACACCTGGGTTCTTACTCCCACCAATTATTTAATAGACATTAAAACTAAAAGCACATTCCTTATCTGACTCCTCCATTTTCCCTTCCAAATCACATCCCTTCTCCCCAAGTATGAGGGAAGGGATCCCTGCCTTCCCTAAACTCTACTTTTCTCAGCAGTTGCATTCCTCAGGCAGCTTTGCTTCTAGCTCTGGGGGAAGAATCCCAGCTGAATCAGTCACTTTATAAACTCCACCCTGCTCAGATATTCATGTCTATAAAGGCACCACTCGGGCTGTTCTCTCCCTGGACAGGCTGGTCGCAGCCCGTGGGCCTCTAGGGAAAGCAGACCCCAGCAACCCCACAGGCAGTGGGGGGATGTGCTGACGGGGAGGGGGCACTGGTAAAGGCAGCAGCCCTTTTGCCCGTCTACTGGGATCACTCCTCTTTCCC